GGAGGGTGGGCCAAACATTATTCATCTGCCTCCAGAGTATCTTGGGTTCCTCTCACACTTTGAAGGCCCTTCCTGAAGGGATTTCGTGGTGTTTTAGTGAAGACCCCTCCTTAGAACTGCAGAAAGCAGAGCCAGGAAATGGTGAGTCCTGGATAAAAAGGGTTCTCAACCTTAAATTTCTGCCATAGGATAGAAATTTTGTTGATTCTTTTTTTCTCAGGCGCATCAGGGTTTGTTTATTTGATTGTTTAAAATATACTCTGTCATAAATTGTAATGATTTTGTCATTTTTTTACATGTTCTTCTCTCTTTTTCTCCCTTCCCCATTCTGCAGTGTACCCGTTGTCCCAGTATACATATAACACTTAATGATATATTCCTTTTGGACACTTCTTACCCTCAACTGATATAATGCTGTCTTCGTTATCCTTCACTCCTTTTCCACTCAGTCTTCCACACCCCTGTATCTGTCCTATTTGATAACATAAACTAGTGAATGTAATACGTCAAGGAACAAGTCAGAGGTCTGATTCCCTGACTATCATTTGTTCGTTTTCTCATTCTTTCCATTTCATGTGTTCTTCTTGTAACATTGTGGAACATGGTACCTCTCTGATCCTGAAGATATTGTGTGTTTTAGGAGCCATTGTTGTCTGAGGACTTAGTCATCCTCTTCAGCCAGGAAGAGTGGGATTTGCTCAGTGTTGCTCAGAAGAATCTCTACATGCATGTGATGATGGAAACAGTGAAAAGTCTGGACTTCATAGGTAAAATAGCCTTTAATATCTTTTAGAGTCCTCCCATCACACACTGCTTTTTAATTTGCACCAAAAAAAATTGAAATTCTCTGTTCAGTAGCACATGTGTGAGTACTTCTCTTTTGGCTGTTACACGTGCATAATTTCTTATTGACGCAACATTCTATGATTGTGCTTTTGTTTTTGTGACATTAAATAGATTGTTTTCTGTAACTCTTGTAAGTGTATACATCAACTTCTGAAGTCTTTTTGGTAGTGGGATTCACACTCAGTTTTTGCCAATACATTGGTTAATTGTTCATTTGCTTACGATCTTTCTCAGTCCTTGCATTACCGTGCAAGAAGTAGGAAAAGCCTTCTTTTATTTGTGTGTTTGAAGAGACAGCTGTTCCTTGCAGAATTTGTCCTGTGGTTTTGTACGAAATCAACAGGACGTAAACAGTAAGGAAAGACCATGGGGAAGTAGACCACAAAGAGAAATCTTTCACCAAAGAGGTCGAATTCTTCTCTGTTGTTGACCTTATGCTGAACTCAATAGAGAAGGATTCAGTAAATACAAACTAAGAACTGTGTAGACTCTTAAGGATTGCCT